AATGGATACTCGATAGTGGTTGCTCATGTCATATCGCAAACAATGAAAAATACTTTTATGGATTCAAAGAATTTAAAAAACCCATAAACGTAAGAGTCGGTAATTTTATTCAAAAATTTAATGTTTGTATGCAAAATCCAACCTCTATATTCCTTTAACAGACCCATTGTACAAGCTCTTTTAATCCTATTCCACCCAACACATATAAGGGATACTTCACGAATGCTGATCAAAATTCATATTCCAAACAAGGAGTTGGTGTTTTTATAAAATCAAGCGCGTAAATTTAAGCTCGTACGTACTAGCCGTAGCGATACAAATAATCTTAAACATAAAATTTACAGTGTTTTCGCTCTATATGCCACCTTTGCAATCGTTTCCCCCCATTAATTATATGCGGCGATTTTAATAGCTGGGGTGCGATCTGGAGCTTAACAGTGAGCAACAGTCGTGGTAGTGTTTTAGAAAACGCCTTCATTCTAAGTAATCTCTGCATTTTAAATGATGGAAAACCAACACACTTTTCAACTCATCACACCTTTTCACATATTAATTTAACATGTTGCTCTCCGTCACTTCTTCCTTTGGTTTCCTAGTCCATTTCTAATGATCTATGATGATAGTAATCACTTTCCAAACATAATCTATTGTAGTGTGATCGCATACCGTTGTATGCATCCACCTTGAAGTGCGACAGAATTATGCTGAATTTGCATAATTCTGTAGCAAAAAAAAATAAAACAAAAATTTTGTCGCACTTCAACTGGCTGGGTATTGCATTACGAAATGCAATACGATGCCACGCGCCCCAATTAAAATAATTGATAACGTAGCATAAAATCACTTATAGATTTAAGTATAAATAATGCACCTGGCAAATAAAGAACTTAATTGCTAGCAAACAATTCAATCAAAGCGTATCAACTCGCTGTGTTAATAAAGGCGTTCTATCCGCCTCGTAACTTTAATTAGGGACCGTCTCTTGCCGAGTTCTTTTGGCACTACATGAGACGGATAGACTTGGCGGTCTGCAGCCGAACAGGGCTCTAAAGATAAAACACTACCTACACTTAGGGAAGGATTCATAGGGAATCCTCCCAAATACTGCAACGCATTTTCTATCTCCACTACACATCGGCTGAGTATTAGCTTTTATTACTACACTATCTTTCAAAGTGCTCTGCTACTCCAGCAAAACAGTCCGAATTTCTTCTACATAAAGCGGATTGGATCAATTACTTCACACAGGCAGAATCATTTCTGGATTCGAAGCCTTTAAACGGGAACTACAACCATGATGCTGCTTTTATGTCTAAAACGATTCGCACAGCTGCTCTTAACCCTGATTTGTTATTACACAAAAAGGCCAAGTGGTCTGTGCTCTGTCTAATTCAAGTAATAAGAAATCGCCGGACCTATATAATACGGTAATTTTGACTGGCCATATACCTTACATGTGGAAACTGGCAGCAGTTGTTCCAAATCCAAGGTCAAAAAATGTCTCCACGGCATCGGATTATCGCCAAATCTCCGCTTTATCTTGCCTCTTAAAAGTATTAGAAAAGATTATGGCATCTAGATTATCTTGGCTTCTTGAGTTCAAGAAACTGATTACAAAGCAACAAGTTGGTTTCGAGCGGGATGGTAGGTGCATCGACGCTCTTTCACATATTGATTATTTTACAGACAAAGCTATTTCCGAATGGAATCATATAACAATTCTCTCAATTGATTTCGAAAAAGCATTTGACGGAGTTGGTCTCCATGTTATTTTAAGACTATTGAAATCATGGAATGTTGGACCCAAATTCTTCAACTACATCAAATCATTCATGTCGCATTGGCGGTTTAAAGTTAGAATTAACAATTATCTCTCTTATTCATTTCCGCAAGGATTTCCTCTTTCTGTCACGCTTTTCCAGATCGCTTCCAACGACAGTAGAAAAATTCTTTGACGTGTACCGATAATGTCTCGTATCTATTGGAGGAAAGATCTCCGCATGGGCAAACTCGTCAGGGGCTAAAATTTTCGTACAAAACTCAAAAAAAAATGCAAATTTGACGAAAGATATACAGATATGCGATGCAGGGAAATTAATGATTTACCAATACTAAACGGGCATACGCTCCATATTCTCGGGCTCACGTTTTCCAACATATATCGTTGGAAAACAGACTGTTGTCGGTTAAAAAATTCTATTTTACCAATAGTTAATTCCATACAGTACGTTGCTTGGAAAAGCCATGCGCACATTAACACTATTGCTTACCTTACCAAAATACTTATTTTAAGCAGGATTGACTATGCCTTGATAATTTAGGACAATAGCTGAAAATCTCGTAGCAACATCCTCAGACCGGTTTACTACCAAATTCTCAGAGCAAGTTGTTGTGCTTTTCGGACGACGCCCGCATATAATATTATAATTGAAGCTTTAGAAAATAGACTTTATGAGTTAAAAGCTAAAATAGTCCCCAAGCTTCTTAATTCAAACAAATCTATTCTCAGTGATGACGTGAGAAAGATTATTATTGCGAAAATTCAAAAGCCACCATCTGCAATTGACTATTGTTTGTCGTCGCAAAGGAATTGGACATTCCTTTAAAAATTTTCCGCACTTTTGGTGTTAAACCTCCATGGATTTTGAAAGACTGCTCTTTTGACATTTCGCTATCAATACACAAGAAAGAAGATACAGATGGTGGTAGATGCTTCAGAACAGGTTCCTCTCAATCACATATTTCACGAAAATACTTCAACTTTCAACTTTTCCATAAAAACAAACCAAGCCATTGTTACTGACGGTTTGTCTGTATTAAAAGCTATACAGAATCCTTCGACTTCGAGATGGAGCACCATCAACAAATTAAGGAATATCATTACAACACCCGGCGAAAAAATAAGAACGTTATGGGTACCTAGTCATATCGGTTTGTTGGGAAATGAGCGGACTGATCGAGCGGCGAACTATCCTGCGTCTGCACCTCTAATTATGGATGATGTCATGGAAAAGATGGATCTTCAAAGATACATTGGAAGAACGGTTAAAGAGAAAATTACAGAAGTAAATCTACAGTACCATCATTAGCACTTCTCTTTTAATAAATCCGCAATTGTGGACAAATTCTCTCTATAAAGCATTAACTCTACCTTGGTTAGAAGTATTGCATTTGGCACGATTAACCCTTTGGGCATTCTAAAATCAGCTTCAGAACAGAATATTAATTCAATATATTACTTTGTTAAAACTACTAGACTCAATATCTAATGTACATTTATATAAATTAGAGCCGATAGCCTGTGTTGCTAGTGCTCAATGTCCTTTCTAGTCTAAGAATTTACTTCATTAGTCTAAAATTATATTAATAATAACAATAATAATGATAATAATAAAGTAAGTTCTTTGATTTTTTTTGTAAAGGGAACCGATAGAAATCCTATAAGAGTAAAGTAACTAGTGCTAATAAAATTGTACTGTCAGGACACACGTAAAAATTTTTGGATCCAAACGGAGATTTAATTGGTTTAGTCATTAAAGATAACGGTATATAAAAAATGAAAAGAGAAGTTTTGTAACGAAAGCCAAACACACTAAAAAAAAATTGCATGAAAAAAACGGATTTGAGTAAAATAAAATGTAAAAAGAAAAATAATGTTAGATCAAAACGATAATATTTCATTCGTTTGCTACATCAATGGAAAGAAATTTAAAATCGAAACGAGCACAAACAGCAAGTCGTGAACTAAAATATAGAAAGTCTGTAAATTATTTGAGCAGATCCCGAAATTGCTATGATAATGCTAAGTTGTCTATATACTTTGAGAGTCCTAAAGTATTTAGTTTTAATCGAAACGTTGAAGTTGAGCTTTGAGAAAAACTTAAATATTGATATTTCAGATTGTTACGTATCAACCACCGTATTGAAATGTATGGATGTATTTAATTAAAATCAAAAAACAAAATAATGTAACAAAATCTTCCACATCAGCTGAGTTTGTAGCGCTGTTTGAATTTACAGCTCGACTTTTTCTTACCGTTTCGTAAATGAAAGTTATATAAAAGCAAAAATTGACATTGTAAAAGTGAATTCTGAGGAAATTTTAGGCAGATCTTTCTATTGAATCGGATGTAATGTCGAAAAGTTTAGAGATATGCCAAATGTACAATAGTTCGTAAATTATACTAATATCAAAGCACTTTGCAATATTTAGTGCAAGATAATGATACAAATTTAAGGCGGCGTATTGAATTATAACTAAGTTAATATTATGGCAAGTCCATTAAATTAAAGATTCTCACTCGGTGTAAATGCGCTATTAAATTATGGGTAATAATAAGAATAAATATTGTTTAATTTATACATATGCAGTTAATTTATACATATTCATTTAACAACTATATCCTAATAAATCCACCTTTCGAACTTTTAATTTGCATGAGACAATTCGAATCAGAGGTTTTCAAAACACATCTCTTTTGACATAACTGAAGATATAAACATATCATCATAAACATATCAGGACGATTGCCTGGGTATCTAATCTTATGTTTCTGTTTCGACATATTTTCCTATGCTGAATATACGCAGACACCCATTGCAACTCATAGTTTGAATTGTCATACGTTTTTATTATTGGTGATTATCAAAAGCAAACACTGTTACCTTGTTGCGTAGTACTACAAGCTAAGTTGAATCAGCTACTCTTTTTTCGCAGTAACATAGTACACTTAAAAAGTTTTTAAGTTAAGTTATTTTTTAATTGTAAGTTTTTGATAAGTTATCTTTAATTCGCTGGAAAATGTAATTGAAGAGAATGTCGTTGAACAAAGACATAAATACATAAGTTAAGATTAAAAAGTATGATAAAATTATTGAAATATAAAAAGCTATTTATATTTCAATTTAAGAAAAAAATCATGTTCCGAACAAAACTTCGCTCTTTCAAAATATTCCTATCCAAACGTTTCATCGATATGGTTTACTATAAAATTACTCACTTCTTGTACTCTTTATCTAACGTGGTATCACCATATTGTTGCGCTAGTCTCATGGTTGAAACTAGTTCATGCATGTCCTTAGGTAGTACCTTATGAGCCATTTCTACTTCTCTATAAATCGTATGGAGTTAAGATTGCCACTGCGATATATAATTATGTTCAACTCACTTATGAGCTTCTGCTGGTATTAGGGGCGAAAGTTCGTCTACCGATTGTAGCAATTTCCTTAATTCATAACCGATATTTTTGACTAGTTCTAGATAATTACTGCCAGTATCTTGGTCGACCACTTGCGAAAGAGTTATTATTGCCTTTACAACGTTCTTGGTAGCCATATACACTTGATCCTTGCTGCGATCCAAAGTAGGTTTCATAATGATTTTCGGTTGATTTTCACCGAATAACCTGGAATCAGCCATGCCCGATCTTTGATCGACATTCACTTCTGTAGCCATTTTTGGAAAATTTTTCGAATTGTGGGTATGTTGTTTCGGATATACTTCACTTGCACGGCAAAAACCTTTAGCGAGTGAATCATTCCAAGACAATTTTAAAGATCCCGACAAATTGTGGGAATCTACTTCGCTATTGTCTGGCAAAGCGGCTGACTGGTGCAAGTTCTAAAAATATGTAATATAAGAAAGTTTCAGTCCAAATTTGCAAAAAACTTAAATGACTACCAACTAAATTCTCAATAAAACAATTCTAACAAAGCAAGAACTAAAAAGAGAATAATCTTAAAACTTAAATTCAAGACCAATAATATTAATTTTTGCAAACCTCCTCCATTAGCATCTTACAACTATTATTCTTCACAGATGTTGCTGCTAATGGTAATGTCGTAGTTTCCACTACTTCGCACATTTCTTCCGGTGTTTTCTGTTGTTGTTGCGGGTGAACGTTAATATTTTTATTAGTGTCTATATCAACCAAACTTTGATTAATTAAACAGGCGGAACTACTGCCCGGCGCCATTGGAATATAAGTCTGTGCAGGGAACAACGTAAGTGCGTTTTGAGAACAAACGGCTGAATCTGCACCTGCACCGATATAAATATTGCTTTGGGCAGGACACATATCATAAATTTCTTCTTCAAGCGCCCGATATTCGGGGGAAATCTTCATATGATTTTTAAGAACAACAAAGGAAGAGTAAGCTTCCAAACTACCAGTGCAGTAGTAAAAGTGCGAAATGTCCTTATTATGTTGAACTGAACGTTCTAAGCTAGCGCTGCGTGGCACAGATTTACGTGGCGTACTTAGAGTATTGATAAGTGTCTTATTGCGTTCTAATGAACCGCCTATGTAGCGTCCCTTATTTGCTCTACTCAAATAAGGGGTTATAACATTTCTTTCCAAACTACCACATATAGGTTTTAAAATTGTCTTGGCGGTAGTAAGAGAAACGGGTGAATCTTGCAAAATTGGTGAATTTCGTCCAAAGTCGTATATTAGTTGGGGTTTTTCTTCTTTTACTAATGACGCTGGTAGCGATTTTAATGAATAATCAACCTCACCAACATCATTATAGCAAAAGCTTCGGTTGCGGAAAGAAGGATCTAATGAACTTAAGAAGCAGTCACTTTGTCTTGTCAACGTCTGATGGGCACACGAAGCACTATGCGTACTAGTACAGTTGTTTATTTGATCGGCTTTTATTTGAAGGGAAATATTCATTTGAGTTTTTACGTTGTTATCCTTTGAAGAGTTAAATGTTTTTGTTGTTGGTGCTGCCTTTGATTTTAAATACGACCTTAAAATTTCTGCCTTATTTTGCTGCAATGTGTTTAGAACTGCTATCTTATCCTCCCTACTAATAGTATCATCTAACTTGAGAAACTCCGACACTGGCAGCTTGGTAGTTTTCAATGCAATATCATTAGAATTTGTTTTAGATGTGTCTACTTCTACAGCTAAAGTATTAAATACCGAGGCGGGCATTGTATAAGCAGCCGGGTTAATGATACGGTTTTCGTTTTCTTTCATCAAACAGGCCAACACTTCGGGATCTTGAGCTATTATATAGGTCTGCGGACTAAGAGCAGTTTCATCGTATGCTGGCGATAATTTGAAGTTGTCTGAGAAAATATAATTCACTCAGTAAATCAAAATATGGAAATTTAACATGGAAATTTACCTCGAGTTTGCATTATTTTCGCTGGTTTTGAAGGCGGCAAGTCATTGTCTGCGCTCATAAATAAAACACGGGCGTTTTCTTTATTACCAACCTCAAACCCGGCAGCTCTTTCCTCTATTAATATTTCGCTGAAAAATTCATATAAACATTAAAAATGTAATCTATTAAACACCAGAGAATAAATAATAGTTACATGCAACTAGGACAAATCAACCTGCCATTTTATCGTTTTTGTTAACAAGTAATGAATCTAAGAAATACGTTTTGCCAAGAATGTATGACTGTGCACTAAAAGGAATATTGCATGTAAATATAAGTATCCTTTCTAAAATGGAGGATTCGTCCTTTAGTATTGGCCGCGATATAACCCGCTTTTTATCATGAAAAAGAGATTGGAAAAAATTTAAGTTCTTTCAATAGTACACATGTGCGTGTTCACGTGTCCTCGGGAACAATTGTACAATCAGCCAGCAGTTGCTTGTACAAAATTAAAATTAGAACTAAAATTTTGCGAAAGCGCAAGAAAGAAGGGGAAACAAAAATTTATTTTACTTGTGGAACAACTAAATATATTTATTGAGAAAGGATTGGCTGAGAGACACGAGAAAACATAAGCCGCTTAGAGTGGAAGAACGTGTCGTAATACATTTGACACTATGTAAAAATCGACTTAAGGTAAGCGATAAAAAGCACCCAGGGTATATTAACGCATGGGCAATGGCAAGCAAGGTTGCATTGAAGACGATAAAACGGTACAGATCGCTACAAGTTATCTGCTTCGTCATTGCTTCAAAGAATAATGATAACATTATTATTATATATTATAATCCAAAGAATCATATGTCGTGAATTCTAGAATAGGGGAGATAGCAGTCGCTTTGCTGGAGACTAACGACAAAGTGGACGATAAAAAAACTTCTGGCTGTGACGGTATAAAAAATATGGTGTAAAGTCAGTGATCTGAAGCAGACTAGAAATTTTTGTTACAATGTTCCAATGAAAGAATCGACTAAGATTCCATCAGGCGTAGTGCACTAACCGCAACCAGCCTCCGCGATGTCGTCTCTTGGGGAGGGGAGCGGTTGCGCAAGTGTATGTGAGAGGTAAGTTAAGCATGTAGGCGCCGTGGATCGAGCATGCTGCTGGCCATCTTTGGAAGACACCTCAACAGAAAAAAATGGCACATACATAGGCGTACAAAGAAACACTTAAAATCAAATTCGCAAACACTACACACATAAAAAATGATTGCTAAATAGTGCGGTACAACAACGGTATCTTGCCGGCGAAAAATTTGGCGAGTATCGGTGAAGTTGGATACGATGTAAATGACATAGGTGCCTTTTAAATAAGCAGATTGGTGGTGAAAACAACCAAGCGGACGCAAAACTTGGCAAACAAATAGAGGCACTAACCAATATGCTGGTTGGTAATCGGCACACAATCAACCCTGCACAAAAGATCCGAATCCAAAATGGAAGCAGTTCGAAAAGCAGTCAAGTACCCGCTTTTCACCTTTTCTAGTAACGATAGTGGGTAGCTAGAAAAAAAAAAATTCCGTGGGGAAAAATCCAAAAAAACCAGCGAAAAATATGAAACCTAAGCCGAAACCACTACTTAAAAGGTAAAAAACGTTAAAGAAAATTGGAAATATGATGTTCTGTTACGTATAGACAATAGTCGAAGATAATACTAATGTAAAACAACTTTGCATTAATGTGGGAGAAGTGTTTCGCATGGGAGCGAAGATTAAAATATGTAATCGCTCAGAAAATCATGTAGAAGTACGCAAAGTTCGATTCATTCGGCTTTCGCGAATAAGGCAAAACTATTACTGGACAAAGAAACAGTAAAATTAGCTTCGTTGCTTGTCGAATTAAAAAAAGAAAATTATATTGGAATACTTTAAATATCTAGAATGCGGCCATTTTGTGAGCAGAATATGGGCAATGTAGGCAGAAGTAAATACTGTTTTGATTGTAGTGAGCTAGGCCATCTCGTCAGCGGCTTGGAAAACGAGTCGTGGAAGTGGTTTTCCTATGAAGCAAAAATGAGTGCTGCAACTTAGATTAAGCCATTGTACTTTTGTAAAAGAGTTACTAGACCAAAACGTACGGAAGAAATATGTAGATGTAGCAATTCTGAGCTAGCCGTATAAAGTGCCACGAACAAATGGTCGATAAAGGATGAACTGAGCGAACCCGCTATTTAACATTGTAGCAGGTGAACTAAAAAGTTAAAAGTGATGTCAATACAGAACGGGTTCGTGGGTAGTGAGACAGATGATGTTTATATATCCAGCTGCGGTGTCTCAAGATGATGAACATGTAAACGACGAGTTACGCGCCCAAGTCAACAGGAAACCCCTCTAATAGTGGTAGACGGCGTTGATGTATAGGCTACGGAATGAGAATGTCCAAATGCAAGTCCCAACGGCTGTTTCGCTAACAAGAGTATAAAAACAAACGACGGCTAAAAAAGCAATCGTTACAACTAATCGTAACAGTTTTCGTAGACTGAACGATGATATAGAAACTAACCCAAAGGGCATAAGAAACCCGAAATGCAAGTATAATACAGTATCAAAATAAATAACTAGACAGCTAGGGCACATAAATAATGAAAATTTATCTGATCAGATGGTATATCGAATAATGGCAAACTGAAGTGTTCGTCGGACTTTACAAAAACTGTCTAGCCGGAAAAAATAATTAGTTTTGATGCCTAATCAAGTAAACTTAAATGAAATCGCAAAGCGTTCTATTTGTAACTGACACTACAAGTTTTAGAACAGCTAATTTGTAATCACCTATCACAGGCCATACCTTAGTCAGGAGAACTATACGACATGCAGTTCGGATTTCGAAGCCGAAATGGTCGATCGCAGACCCTACCCTAGAAACGTTTTCGACGTACTATGATGTATTGCAGCTACATATCCCTGAGCAGACTAAAATAACAAGCTCTGTCGATGATGCAGCTGTCGTAATTCTTGCCCAACATGCTGATGATATTAATTGCATAGCGGAAAACATGATCAACTTCGCTTATAGATCGTGTCCGAAAAGGTAGCGTTACCACTAAGGAAGCGATAGGATATCTCGAAGTGATAATCGACGATAATCAAAGTTCGTACGTCAAAATCTTAGCTCGGAAGGAGCAGCCGTAATTATAATTGCAGTAGGTCTAACGACAAGCGTAAGAAGCCAAAATCAAAATCGCAGACACAAACAAATCGACATTGTGAAATTTTTAATACTATATGCGAGTCTTAAATAATGTGGGGTGACGATGAATCTTCAATTCTGCAGCACGGGCGTTGCGTACTGTTTATGTGCGATAAGGAAAATGACTGTCACGGATCGTCGATAGATGCCACTCTGGTTAGCTGCTAGAATTCGGATCAACGTTTTCCGCATAAAGCAGAAACTCAAGGAAGAAATGCTGGCTTGCCAGATATACAATCCTACGCGAATGCCAAATCAGATGAAAGTAGAATAACGGACATGACGCTTGACACAAACCATAGGAAATGGCTCTTTGCAGTGTAAATGCAAGTTTTTCTTTAATGCAGCTACTCACGGGGTTCGCCTGCTACAAACCTTACCTGAAAAAATGAAATCGACTCGCGAAATCACAATATGTGACAGAAAACGACGAGCATGTTTTTTTCAATGCGTCCATCTGGAGCAGCGGATAAAAAAGCTGCGAACTTTGCAAAGATATCCACATCTATAAATCTCATGCAACATTTAAAACCATATGCGTATGAGTGGCGTAATAGGCAAAAATGACAGTTACTAAGCCAGTGTTCGCTGGTTAAAACTTCAGGTGTTGTATATTTTACTTAGGTCGTAGCTGTGGCGAGTGGTAAGTCAATAAAGGCATCGCATTTATCGATTGGAGATATATCCATTTTGTTGCGAGTGCGACCTCTTATTGTGATTGTTCGATATTAAGGAAAAAAGGGGGTGAGCCAAATTACACTGAATTTTGACAATAACTTGCAAGATTTTGCGAAACAATGGACAAAGTAAAATCGCACAGCTTGAAAAAAAACTCGAGACAAAAACATACGGCACTGAGCATTTATTCAGAATGCCAAAGGCGGGGAAACTCTTTTTATGTTTAAGATTCTCAAAACGGGCCTGTCCAGTGTAAATGTGATGATGAATCCGTGTGCTAAAAAAACTTACGACTATTATTCTTTTGTGGACAGGTTAAATGACTCCTAGTCGCTTAAGCATTCATAGTTTATCTTTCTTATAAACCTCTTGCCTTGAAATTATTGTAATTTCTCAGTAGTTTATAAATAATGTACTGTGTACAATGTACTAATGTACTATTGACATCTTACATACAATCGCACATTGTAACCTTATGACCACAATGGATAATAATAGAGCAACTTGATTCAAGTGATAGCCTTAGTTCCTAATTTTCTTAGTTCCACTATTGCTTTATAGCAACAGACTACAGTTGCATAGTATATATATTCTGCATAGTATATACATACAAAAAGTTAGCAGCAAATTGGAAAATAATGTACTGTTGTCTTCTACTTGGTGAAGATATGCAGTGTGCAAGTTGGAAAATGTAAGGATAAGATGCAAGAGCAAAACCACTGAAAATTTGCACGGACTCTCGAGATATAGAATATGCTTTGAAAAACAAATAATTATTCAGACAAGTGTGTTAATAACAATATCTCTCAGCTTAGTAATGGAGATACTGTCATAAGAAGTGTTGATATCAATCGCAACAAGAATTATTTCAAAATCTAGTTCCTTTAGTTGATATACTGGACGGCAGAGGACTGAGATTATCAGCCGCCTTCATTTCAGTGAGTCCATTCTTCATCATTCTCTCTATTTTTAGTAAAACAGAAGTAGGGAAGTTTGTTCAGACATCCTTGTGTAACGTCCACGAACGCAGTTTTGTCTTAGTATGGGGATAATACTTATTATTTTCCAAGAGAGCTTCACGGGAGAAGCCAGAAAAGTCGAAAAATATTTTGGGGGAATCTGACAGAGCTTTGATATGTGATTTTAGCAGAATTACCCACTAATGGCCAATCCCTAAGACTAATTTAAGATCAGTCGAAGGGTAAGGTGGACGTCGCAGTACATTGTTCTGACACCATACGAATTTTCGCTTTTTTCCCATTCTTTTTAATTTTCACTTTCCTTTGTTAAGTATCATTCACTACATAAATATGCATTTTGGATTATTGCTTTGATTGTGAACATTGGTATTAAGACTTGAAATCACTAATTATAGCAAGTTAAAACTTCAAATTCGTGCAAACCCTACCATTGCAATTCTTTACCTATTTTTAGAAAAATTATGGTTTGCTGCAATATAAAAGCTAACTTTTAATAAGAACTCTTATATATGGGAAGAATTCCGGAAAAAAGGTTTACGTAGTGCAAGCGGGAAACTGCATACCCAGTAGTGTAGAGTGTGTGTAGGGCCAGTGAGTATTTAATGTACGATCCCGGAGGGTATCGCATCACCGATTATTGAATAAAATGGTGTGCCGGCTGTGGACCTGCTGTCCGTCGATTTGCTTTCGCCAAGACCATTATTAACGTATAAAGTTATGGACCAAATGAATCAGCTGGCAATATCTAAACAGAAGCGATTAGAAATGCTACCCAAGGCTCCTAAGGGTGCGTATGCTGAACCTGTAAAAAGTAGTCCGACTGTGTCGCAATCGATCTGTCGTCAAAGACTAACGCAAATAGTTAAGTTGGGTTAGCCTCCTCTTTTCCTAATAATAATGTTGAAAGACGTGAATTAGCTTCGGTTCCACCAAGGAAAGCGGCGTTTACTTTCACGCTGGTTCTCTGTACGGTAGTAATTGATATGAAATTTCATATTGCATTCTAATATCAACCTAAACAGACTTTCCATCTTTAAGTTGAAATCATAAGAAGATCGAATAATTGCTTCGCTCAAACTGCTGTTGCCCACGAAAGACCTCAAAGCTATAGTGGACAAGTTATTCTGGCCAAAGGATACTCTGGATAGAGAATTCACACCCTCGGCGGTTAAGATAAATAAACCAGTAATTTCCATTCACCTAAATGTTAAGGACCTAAATTCAAAACTTCGCTCTTCTTTCCTAAATTCAATAAGCACGGAGGTTTTCCGTTTGGCCATCACTGAAGGTTGGTTATAGCTTTATTTACATTCGTCGGAACTTTTTCACAATTCTTTCCAGCTTACCAGAAAAGATCGATTGGATCAGATCCCTTCTATTCAGTTAAATTTCCTAATCCTCCCGGCGAAAATTAGCAATAAACAGTTATACGTAACTTCCTTCCACATTCCACCCAAATGCGGATATCTCCATTTATAAGAAACATGCTACCCTCATTTGTGACGGGGCTGAAAAGGCTAAACTTATTGATATAATTATAGCGTTCAATTTGCGGCAAGACGCTTGGTGTTATAGTAAAAATTCTAGCTATATTGTCGCCACTTCAACATCTGATAGAGCTATTGTGTTTTTCAATGAATGATTTGCTCGTCATTTACTGCAATACAACCGTTCTCCTAATTGTAATGGCAGACGCCTAGATTGTTGTTTGCCATTTCCAATAGTTGTAAATCGCTGTCCATCTTTTAGTTTACCTGAGAACCCGTATCATCTAGCAATTCGTATTTCCTGTCTTTGCTGGTATGATGGTCCTTTGAACTACTCTAATGCGCGAAATCCAACGTCCTGCAATAAATATGATTTTAACAAAACCAATATTTTACTCCTTAAATCTCATCTTTCACACGTTAGGCTTAATTTCTCTGCTGTCTGCGTTCTTTAATACACTAAACCTAGCTACTTCTGCATCTGTTCCGATGAAGCAACCTCGCCCTCGAAGCAGATACCCGCCATGATTTAACAAGGCAATTAAATATTACAAAAATAGAAAAATCAAACCTTCCGAACAATTTATGAAAAGTGTTTCCGCTTACAAATGTTTCGCCTATTCTACGTCAAGGCATAGATTTAACTACAATTACCTCAACGACCAATATTATAGCAGATACCTTCAGTTAATAAGACCCTCACTGCTTGTTAATCCTAGATATTTTTTTAAATTTGTCAATTCCGAAAGAAAAATCTCCATATATTCCTCGCATATTTCTTTCAATGGGCCTTAGTCCTGTGATGATATTCTAACCTCGAAACTCTTTGCTGATACTTCCGACGAAATTTTTCAACCACTAATTCCGATTCAATTGTTAACCATCCGCATCCGATATCTAACACGGTTTTGTTTCCTAACTTAGTCATTTCAAAAAATGATGCTTTAGATGGCTTAAACTCTCCACAATATAGTTCTGCACCTGGACCTGACAAGGGGGGGAAGTGCTCGACTAAAGTAGGTTGAGAATTAAGATTAAGTGAAGGACTAGACAGACGACGGGAGATAGCGGAGACCCAGTCAGAAATAGAGGTTTCGGGTTGGGACAAGGTAAAGTTGCCAAAAGGAAACCTTGACGGGAGGAGCTAGCTACAAATAGTCCGTGTCGAGGGTCAGACTGGTGCGGTCGAGTAGGGTAACCAGAACAAAGAGGAACAGAACGAAGAATTAGTTAAGAGAGAATAATTAGTTAAGAGAGAATAATTAGTTAAGTTGACGCAACGAGTTAGTTAAGTTTAGGCAGTAGAAGAGTACGCTTTGAGCTGGAAAAGCGAATAGTACTATTGATGCTGATTGTAAGCAAATTGGAAAATTAATAAATAAAGTGAAGGCTTCTGAACTCTAAATTATTTAAAGAAAAACATCAAAAGATAAAAATTCTTGTAAGCACCAGGGCATGGGTAAAAGCGCTCACAGTACATTGTATAGACAGGATTTTGATAGATCAAAAGTTCAATGGGTGATACATTTTTGGTGATACCTCCTAAGTTCTCGAGCCATATATTGACCAAAATGTTACATGAAACTTTTAATACCATTTCAAAGAAGATTCCACACATTTTTGGGCAGGCTTCGTTGAGGTAAGAATTAACTTAAGAGTATAAAAGCAAACAAACACTTACTAAAGAGTTTCTTTTATTCTTTTAAAGTTTGGCCTTTTTGAGGGCTCGTAAGCCCAGCATTGCGACAATAAGCTGTATAAGCGCGGCGGACAGTTGTTAGGAAAAGGCAACCGTTCACCATTTTCTAATTTAGCGATGACATCACTATTTTTGATTCCCTGAAACGGTTTAACGCCCAGCATTAAGATCTCCCAAGTGCAAACGCCTGAAAATCGCAATTGAAAGCAATTTCGGGTTAATCCTTATTTTTTATCAATTACCAAACATCCAGACATCGCTGGCTACGGTGAAGCGACGAAAATTTATTGATTCAGGAGCCATCCATTTTATTGGCAGCATGCACATGCTAGAATGATAGTACGATTGTTCTGACACCCATCGTGACAATCCAAAATCTGCCAACTAGAATTTTTAAGAGCAATGCGTTTTTTTCACTTCAAGTACAAGTATTTAATGAGACAATTAAAAGTTTTTCGAGCCAAAGAATCTACCATCTATTATATACAGTTGCTTTACCTTGATACAAGTGGGTGAACGAACGAGAACATTACGGGCAGCGATATCGCGATGAACAAATTTTTTAGACTCCAAATAACTTAGAGCCGTTGATAGTTGATAGCAGTATAACAATAAAATCTCCTTGCATAACCTATAGCAACAAAATCCAAACATACTTAAGTTAAATTATTGTTCAAAAAATCTGCGAATCTCCTCACTTTTCAGCATTTGATTTTAAGTACGCCCTCAGTTCACCATATTCAGCCAATTCCATTACAATCCAAACAGGGGATTCACTACATATACCTATAAGTCGTATTATATGGGGATGATCGAATTTTTGCATCACATCTGCAAAAAAGAGCGAATAATATACATAGATCAATATCGTATTTTGATGACACTTACAAGCTTCTTCTAAAAACCGTTCCATCTTTTCGGGATCATCGTTAGTTTTACATGTTTTTACGGCCACTTGTATGGCGGCAGATTCAGTTATCTTTTCATCTGTTTGAGTCTCCCGCGATCCCCCCTTTATTTTTGTGTGATAAGTGCCTACGTAAACATCGCCAAATTGACCTACACCTATGGTACTTTTCAGAACGATCTCAGAACGATCCAATTCATAATTACGTACAGCCGGCGTTGAATAATCCCCCTCGTCGTCCACTGTACCGATTTCAACGTAGTCAGCAGTTAATTTTGGTTTCACATTCAGTTGGGTGGGACTATCCGCATTATGCCCATCAAAAATATTAGTCACAAATATGTCGCCTTTACTTATCTGAACGGCGTCCCTATTACCTTCTCTCGTTTCATCAATTTGGTGTTGGTTACTGATTGGATTCCATAATGTGTAAACTTGATTTTTATTAATCAATAAGCAGTAGCCTTCTATAAGACTTGCTACGCTGGTAGCAGTCTGTAAAAGAATGACGATTTTCTTTCGACGTTCTTTTTCCGATTCTACTTTTTCGATTTTTATTACTTACGTTATAACCATTGCATGTTATTACCAAATCCTCCTCATTACTAGTGGTTTTTATTCTTACTTGCGTTTTCATATTACGACAGTTACAAGATCTTCTCGTCACATTATCGTCGACATGAAGACAGCGGTGCGGATATCGCGTTTGATAATTAAGATCCTTTTCTTTACTGGAATGTATGTCGTCTTTTGGTAAAAATAGGGTAATTATACGACGAATGTCTTTAAATGTTGCCACTTGCGTTACTTTTGCTTGTGGATGAGTTTGATATGAAATTCCTAGCAAAAAATTAAGAACATTATTATATTAATATGTTTAGATAAAAAAATAATTTTACCTATTGTCGGACCTACGTACAGAAAACCAGATATATTCCAGGAAGAACTTAACGTGACTGAAAATTTTTCGTAGTCAGTCTCATGAAATTTTTTTACTATGTTGAAATATCTAAAAAAAGAAAAAAGGTTCACAGAAAGTAACGCACACGAAAGCGCTGAATATGGTAACCAGAATATAAAGACGAATAATCTTTCTTTTTTTACAATTAGCTGTTAAGTTAATTTATTTATAACAAGTTGTACATGCTGATTAACTGTTGTATAAACAGTTCGAGACTGGAACTGTTGTATTTGTTTGCGGTTTTATAGAGCTTTCCGTTAATCTTCTTTAGAATATGGCGACGTTTATATTTTTGTTGAGAACATTAAGCAGCGACGATGAAGCGTTCCAGAATCTTGAAACAGAACCATTATTTTATGAAAATCGGAGCAGAGTCTTAGTTAAATGCAAAATTAACCAAAATTGTCCCCTTTGCATTAAAGAAAATCCAGATATTGTTCCTAAAACGCGTTTGCATACACAATAGTTGACAGTTGACAGTTTGGAATAAATGTTGGAAAAGGAAAATGGCAAAGCAGACGTTGCTATTGGAGAACGTTATAAAAAGATTACTATTAATTTTTTCTAGCACGAATAAGGTGATTTCGATTTAGGCGATATGTGGTTTAACAGGTTAACGCAACACTCCGTACATCGCAATAATTTGTTGCGAGAAAAATTCGATAACCACCTAACCTCCAGAAATGCTGCTGTAAATTGGTCGCTTTTTCTCTGAAGAGATGTAAAACGATTGGTTGGCTGTAAAATGAGACCGCGCTTATGTTCCCGATAATGGAAAATCGAGATAAAATCATAGAAAATGAAGAGCAGGTTTAGCACAGTAATGGTAAATTAATTGCATCGCTAATACCCGTCGGACTTCCTGGAAGTTTCAATGGACGTATATCCATGGGAAAAAAATCATCAACTAAGTTATCAGGATATCGACAGCGAAATTGATGTGGACCTTGATATTGAATACAACGAAGTAGAAGGCACATCTAAAATGTCTATAATGAAGCAACAGGAACAATCAGCACGCCGTTTTTTTTCTGCGTATTCCTTTTTGAAAAAGGGCGCTACTGTAAGGTTTAACTTTCATGATCGAGCGAGACTTTATTACAGGCAGTCGTCTCAAAACTTTTTTATAACAGAAAAATTATATCGCAGAAAAACGGTACTTACAAAGGCCTTTTGACAGCACGAACTGTGCGATTTCCACTGCACTAAAGGCAAAGACGATTTAGGTGTTAGGAAATTCTTAATAAAATTGCGGAGGTAACTAAAGGTCAAAGGCTACTATTTACTGGACTTTCCTTTAAAGGCGTTATTGCACAAAAACTCAAAAGCGTGGCCTGGCAGCATGCCGATTTAGAGTTATGGCAGATTGAATGGTAACATTTATTTACTATAGTAAGTTATATGTATATTAAATTATATATTTATATTATATTTTATATTAGCTTAAGAAACCTAACTTCATGAGCTTGAAATAGACATTGGAAAATCAACAATATAAAACCCATAAGTAACGCGCCGCATACAGCACGTCAGCAATAGCAAATGGTTCCTACAACTTTTTTTTCTATTTAGAAAATTACAAAACTTTCAACGAAATTTGTTAAAGCATTACATTTCCGAAATTGGCTGTGGTTTTCCTCCCGTACATACATATATACTGAAGCGTATAATCATAAAGGTATATAATTTTCTGTTTTATAAAACTTTAACATACGCAGTTTGAGGCCATATCGAGAAACCTTTAAGGTAGTTTTAGGTGCTTCCAAGTAATATGAAGTACGAATAAGCACAACGGTTAAATTTGATGAATTTGATCTTACTCTACATAAAATAGCAGTTTGCATCTAGTATTATTGAGGTATTCAGTTTATACAATTTAGACACTCAAAAAACTTTCGAATGGCTTATCAGTTAATAAACCAACTCTTTCTAGATGCTTAGAAAAATATAGATGTGGGGAAAAATCCTATTAATAGTTACCTTATATGGCGAAACATATCTAATTCTGTGTTTTTCGTGTGAATACGCACTATAAAATACATCCAATTGCTTATATACGAAAAAGATGAAACGGTATATATGTATGTAGAAAATATAATTTTTTTTCTTCCCATCGTTTATTAGACATATAGGAATTCGAAAGTGTACGTTCGGCGAATGCTTCGATAAATTTCAATGAAAATTTACAAATCAAGAAATAAGAAGATATTTCATTATTAAAAAAAAGATGATGTATTTTTTTATATTTATCTTTATGTAATTTTCTTATATCCCATTTTCCATATCACACATCCACATGAGTTACTCTACGTAGCGCCTATGGACTATCACATTGGCTCTAACGCATTATTTTATTCCTTCAGTTTTTTTAGCTTCTTTTTTGTTTTCATAGATTTTACAAGAATACATTTTTGGTTATAAATTTTTTTATTCAATAATGGAAAGTTGAAATCCTTTTGTTTGAAATACCCATATCAAAATGACAGTTGATATCATCTCCAATGTCATCACATAAATCATCCGTTCTAATATCATAAATAAATGAATCAGTATCCATATAATTTAGATTAATATTTCTCTTATATTCAGGTTTCATGTAACCGCAATAAAAATTATACATTCTCCATTTTGATAATTCTAAGAGGGTACCAATATAAATTGGTTTATTGCACTCGACATATATCATTTCGTTTGAAATTCTATGTAAACTATGAAAATTTGACCTAGTTATAAGAGCTCTCTTCCCCAACGTTCTACCTCTATTCTCCCATTCGAACAATATTTTAATAACTTTTCTTTATATACATTTTTCGTAGTCTTGCTGTAGACTACTGACTACTGCTGTAGATTATTCAGCAACTTGAAAAAATTTTCTTCGAAAGATTTTTTCGTTTACGTTCTATGATAATTATTCCAATCCTTATATTTGTTTAACCTGTTCGATTGATTAAATTTAAGTATTCTATGTATTTATTTTAAAACAACACCATATCGAATGCACTGTTGAATGTTTCGATAGTGGATAACGTTGTTATTTTTCCGATTAGTATACTGTAAGTCGGCATGCTGTCCAGGATTTTGGAATCTTTGTACAAGACTCTTAATAGTAAGTGATTTGTATACTCGCTGCACTCATGGTCCGTGGTGAACCAATCGGTCGGTACCTTATTTTATCAACGATTAGTCCCCTAGTATCTAACACATGCTTATTCTCATATTATTCTGCTGCAAAGATTTCATATTGGCGCCGGTATATTTCAAAAATTTCGCCTTTGGGGTTTTTGCGCTATAAGTTTTGTGTGGTATGAAGAGTTCGTATCTACCAGTTTTCTCAACAATATATACGATATATTTTCTAAAGAATAGAGTCTCGAAATATATATTGTGGGTATTAAAAAAAGTAAGAATGTTATATTCTCGTACTCCCCCCAAATTCTTTTATTTGATACCTATATCTCTAGTATTATTAAGAAAAACATACTCGCGCGGTCTATTACATTCATTTTAGAGTTAACCATTTTTAGCCAGATAATTTATCTTCATTTGAGAAATATGCAAAATAGTTTGAAACATTATGTCTTGTTTGCGTTATGATAAATAAGCATAAAACCTCAAAGAAGTGAAAGAAAAACTTTAATCAATCGTAACTTTGTCTGGACATGATCGATTGTCTCAATTTTCGGATGTAAAAACCAGAGTGTTTCGTAAAGCAAATACGGAAATAATTTCCGACTAACGAGCAAAAATCCAAAAATTTTTGTTATAACAGACGGTACTGCGTTCAGTTTACGCTTCACTGCGCGCTTCTGCTTGGAACAATTTGCATACAAAATCTTCTAATGTTTCTCCAAAATTTGAAGTTGATATCTTCATTTTTGCGATCAGGAGAGTGCCAACAACACACACTACACAGACACACAGACGGACAGGCATGACTAAATCAACTTAGAATTTCACGCTCATCAAGAACATATATAGTTTTTATTTGGCTCCGAAGCTTCCTTCTGGTTGTTACGAAAAGAAAAAGACAATATAAGTTCATCCTTAATGGGTACAAAAACGCATTCTATTCCCGCTCTTAATTGCCACCCGGCATCATTTGCGCTGTGAGTTGATCGGGACGTAGCAATATATGTGATAAGCGGGCGGTCAGTGAGTGAACATCATCTCCGTAAAAACACGTTGCATTTCGGCTTCGCTTATAGAATCTCAAAAGCAGACAGGATGATTTACTGCAACGGCTTCGACACCTTAATCAATTCAATGTCATCAATTCTTAATGAGTACTCTGACAGCAAAATAGTGACTGTCGACGATTTCAACGTCCACAACAAAAACTGGCTACGCCACTCGGCTCATATAACTCCGTAGAAATGCGATACTGACATTATGGCAATTGAAAACTGCTTAGCGTAACCTGTGAATGCGCCCACGCACGTTCAAGCGTTGATGGGATACATCAAAACATTTTAGGTCATTTTCTTACTTTGCATTCCCAAATATACGAAGTTAAGATCCTTGCACATCCCGGAAATTCGGGCATTTGTACCATTTCCGTATACTTTCCGTATGCTAATCTTCGACACGTGTCTCCCACTAGCCCCGAAGAGTGAAATTCTTCAATGCGGCAAGACAATCGGGCCGGGCATAGGCGCTTTAATTGAGAAATATCATAAAACATGAAATTTCATTTAAAACGACTTCAATTGAATAAAACACTTCTTTCACTTTCGCAAAACTTCGTTCATGGGGGTGATATGGGCAAGTGTTCTACAGAAAAAAAATATTCACCAATTAAAACTTTTAAGAGGATTACGAAGCTTTCTCAGCATCACGAGACCCTGCCGTAAGTTGACATTCATTGCTCCCACTGCAGGTCTTTGGAACATTCTACCAGCGGTAGTTTTTTCCGTGGCGTCTGACTTTTCCACGTTTAAATTAAGCCTGCATAAGCACTATTCTATCCTTCCAAATCTTCTCTACCTATAATCCTTCCTGACCACCATCGCGCCTGCGAGTAGAGGGAATATCTCTTGAAAGTCTGGTTATATACAACAACGAAAGAGAAAACCGATGCCATCACCAATTAACACATGTAATGTAGCAGACAGAAAGAGGCCATATATTTTTTTTTTACGTACCGTTGTTTACTTCTTTTTGAAAGCGCGCCTTTTTGATTGTTGTATATGCCACATTCTTAACAATTGCACTGAATGATTATATTGTTAAAACTACATATAAATTGATTTATTTATTTGGTTTCCATTTTTCAATTCAGCTATTTGCATATCAGTTGAATTAGGCTAATAATTAACAATTAAACAAACAAGAATAATGCAACATTCAACACAAAGTTTAAACTAAAGTTTTGAAGTTTATGCCTGTAAACGCACGCTTCTATAAAATGTACTTAAACAAAACGTAAGCGTCATCTTGGCTGCTTACCCCGAGTTTTGAGACTTTATTAAAACAACGGCTGCTAATAGACCTTCACTCATTTATTATTATCGTCAAGCTATAACAATGGCGATATATGCGCCAATAGAAGAATTAATTTTTTACTAGGTAGAGAACCAGATGTATTAATCAGAATGTGAACCTTGCTTAAATTGTTGTCCTAAATGGGAATAAACAGTTCATAACTGGTTTCACATTGGCTAAACTTTAAGAGCTGATAACTCCTAGAAGATCGAACGGATGTATTAATGTAGATTTCATTCAAAAGATCTTTTGGGTTAAAAACTCCATTGATCCATTTTACCAAGAATGAGGACTCAACTATAATCGAAGTTTCTTCAGAGTGGGTAATGATATGAATAGTAATCCATCTCCATATAGTGGGAGGATTATCATGGGGCGCCATGGCAAATTCCTTAAGGCAAACAGCAGGGATTGTTTTTGCACCAAAACGAGCACATTCCCGTAACACCGATAGAACGGGAAACATACCTCCTCAGCATACTCCAATATTGGTCTAACTATCATCATATATGGACGCTTGGTAATGGTTAGAAAGAAAACCTACGGCTTGCTGCTTAAATATCAGTAACTTGTGGTTTATTCGATCAAACACCTTACTAAAGTCCACATATATAACGTCCATTTGGACTTCTCTAGAGAAAGCCTTTCCAATGTGATCGCTGAAGATTGGTAACAGTATATATACCTTGTTGATATGCAGGTTGAACCGAAGACATGATTTTACGGCGTTTGTTATTTGCGGAGTAACAATTTTATCGAACAATTGTGCCAGCAGGACCAATTTTGCAATACCTCTGTAGTACCCTGTTGCTATCACCCCTTTATGAACAAGGTTGAGGAAATACTTTTTTATCACGTTGAAAACACACCCATTTCTAAGGAGAGATTAAAGATGGTTACTATTTTCTTAGGGTTAATGAGCACAAGCTATATGTATGGGATTCCGTCCGCGCCTAGAGAACAAAGCATTTTCAATAATTCTATGCTTCGTCGAACTAAATCTTTGTAAATAACAATATTTAGAATACAAATATACACCTAATATTAGCCAAGAAGAAAAAAAGCAAGTAGGAATTCCCTAGTCGGGCAAGACCGACCATTAACTCGACACCACTTCGTTTTATTAAGGATATAGCAAAAATTATAGATACAATGTCTTGTTTTTATAGAAGACCCTATATACCTATCGCCCTAAAAATAGATTTATATGATTCAAATTTCCCATAGATGATTTACTAAGGACCGATCCTCATCATAAAATGTTAAAAATTAGAACTTTTTGACGCATAAAGTTTTATTTTTCACTAGAGCCCTTAAATGGGAATTTTAAACCTTCATTTACCTCCAACCAAAGCTTAAACCAATTGCAATTTCTTCAAAAAGAGAATCAAACTGTAATCAGGCGGTGATACTTATTAATCATGATAATATTATATATACAACTTTTTAGGCTGCAAGTATGAAACAATCGTAGCGAAAAAATTTTTACATCATGGAAGTTATGTGATTGAACATAATTCCTTTTAGTCTTTGCTGAAAATAAGAAAGTCTGCTTGCGAAAATGAGAAAAAGTAAATCCTAAAGCAAATTGAAATGGAATGAACTTTTTAAGGATCAACAAAAGCTTAATATCTTTAGTTTAATAATCTTTTAATATTAGCAACTTACTTTGTAATGTATTCGATATCAGTTAATTGGTAGATTTTTTTATAAGTTGTATGTATCACTTTTTTAAGATTCTTTGGCTTAACTGAGGATATCACAGATTTCGGCAGGAAGTAACTAAATCCAACCTCCTTCTCAATATAATCCACGTGCTGTTTTTTATCCGGCACATTTCCCGCTGTGCCGCGAAAATAGTGCAAAATGCTTAAACAGCACAATTGTACAGCATTGTCAAAATCAATGGCGCTTGAATTTGATTGTATAAATTCTTGTTTGACCTTAAAAATAGAAATTTTTTAAAAAAAATATAAAGCAAGATTAAATGATGATATATAAAATATTGTGTGATGGAATATACCACATTATGCTTACAACGTGTTCAGCTCAATGACGTCAAATACATATATAAGCCTACAATGCAATCAATAAGTTTGAATAAAATTATTTTAGGTGTTCATTGTAATTAATTCTCTTCTGGTTTTTCATCCTTTACCTTCTTAAATTGTTATATTTCGCACAAAGCTAAACACCGACGTGTAAATAATTCAACCTATACATAAGGTTGACGACAAGAATACTGCTTTCTGTTATAAGCGTCTGATGCGCAGGAATGCGTTGAAATTCTTACAAGGATAAGGACTTATCGCTTTCGTCAGTTAGAAGCGACGCTTTTTCCCAATTACAGTTTGTGTTTGGTTTTAATAGAAAAGTTCTACGCTGAGTAATCATTCGTTTACTCATTTTTTTTATTCTAATGAAGGCTTTTAACATCAACATACAGTTTATGATATAAAAATTATAGGTTACTGATTGATTCCACATATACTTATAAAATATGCCAGGACCATATTAAAATATCAAATCATCCTAAGTTTAATTATTTCCGGATACGCACACTTCTAATGTTTGTTCCTTTCTTTCCATCAAAACAGTTTTCTTTTCATTCCCTGTCACAAAGTCCAATAATCTCCTTCTTTTAAGAAGTCTCGTCAAGAGACACATTTTACATGATCAACAGAATGCCGTAAATTACTTTTGTAAAAAACTCTGGAGCGAATAAAATACCCTTCGTTGTGCTGTGGAAGTTTTTAATACTGTTTTAAGTGAATCTAAAGCACATTGTTATAAAGACTAAAGAAAAATTACCCGTCATACTATTAGCTATACTACTACCAATTTTCCAGATACACAGAATATAAGACGTTTGAAAACACATTTACATGCTGTGACAAGCCACAATACCAAGAAGGATACAGGGAGGCCAAACTAAATGCAAGCCTATAAAATAGCTTGATGAACTTGCAGAACTGATATATTGCAACATAGCGAGCACTTTGGAGCAGACATTGGATCGGAAAGAAATGTTCTCTTGTCAGCGATCTATTCAAGAAGAAAAAAACCTTATTAGTATTGAACCGCGCAAATGTCACTGTAAGTGACATGCCAGAGAGTATTAAAAATCTGCGAAACCGTGTGTTGAAAATGTCTGAGTTACAATAGGTTTAGACACGCCATCTCCTTACAGGGTACTGTTATGGTGTCTAGGTTTGAATTAAATTGTCGGAGCGGAACTTCTATGCCTGGTCCTTATCTACTGATAAAATATGCCAATCATGATATGAATAGGTTTACGGGATACGTTAATGGAATATATATACATTTTTTTGACGATGGTCTATTTTCATAGTCGTCATAAGGTTTAAGTTGTTTTTTTGGTTTGGTGATAAGGGGTACTTATCAAATTATACTGAGTTGTACTGATGAGATAAATTAACCAATGTTAATCATTGGAATTATTTTTATAAATCTATAGTACTTTTGTAGAGTACCAGTGGTTCTAATAAAATGTTATGTCGTAAAATTTTCCAATATTGGCATCAAGCTGATGAACGTTTAATCCTCGTCTTTAAAAAAAGGGTATTGGAGAGCGATTAAATTTGTTTTGCTTTCATAATTACGGCGTTGAATCTCGTGATATATTCAGAATAATTAACGTTAACGTCTGTAATATAACTTTGCATTTTATTAGATACTTTTGTTGATCTCTATAATTATGATTCACGAAAACAATTTTTTTAGAGTCCATATACTGCACTGCTGTTGGTAATTGTATTTCGCGGTGATTTATTTTGAATTTTTCGAATCACGTGTTTTCCGGGCTGCTCGAATGGTTATATCGTGTTATATTAATTTATATAGTTTTGATATTTGATGGTATTAATTTTAATCGGAGCATCAGAAGTTTACTGTTTCTTATGTTTGGTTCCCTCATCATTACTATACGGTTCATAACAAATTATATCAAACTACCATAGGCCTACCAGACATTTTGGTAGTTTTTATTTTAGCTGAGATCTTAAAGATCCAAACGGATCGCAACGAATTGTAAATTTAGCGACATTTCGGTCGTTCTCATTGTAATTAAGATATTACTACATTGAGAGATTGCACAGCTATGGTGTATAAGTTTTTTTTTTTTTTATGAATATAAGTTGCTACGCTGATGGGAAAATGCCGAAAACTATATTTGGATTTTTGATAGTTTCGCAAAACAGAAATCTTTAGTAAATTGATATGATTTATGACATTTTTAGCGAAGAATGCAACTAGCTTTTTAGTGGTTTTAAATAATGGGATTATAGGTCGAGTGGGCGTACTAATGCTGCATAACACCTCGTAACCACACTATCTAGATCAGTTAGGTGAGTCCAAGGTTTGTTGCTGCTCAGGCTGCCTATGTCATCAGATTAGAGGTAAAACAATTTGAGCAGGTTATCTTAACCTTTCCCTGCGGTGCCCGGCTGACAACTGAGCCCACATCCACTTGCCGACACACGATTAGGCCTACGAAAGTCATGCATCTGGTGCGTATAGACACACATCAAAGCGTGTAAACTTGATACTTACATATATGGTGACATTATATGGTGTGCGGAGAATTGAGTTGGTTGGAATGTTTGCGTAGTGAAGTTTATTGGTTTGAAGATAGAAGAAAGTCCAAATGTACTAAGCAGAAGATTCAATGAATATAAAAGTTATTTTCACAGGACAACTTCTTTAAGAAAGAAAAGTATGTTTAGAAAAGTTTAATTAACTACGCAGTTAAGAAAACTAAAAAAAAGTGCTACAAACAAGAAAACGTCTTAACAACAAAATTGGAAAGCGATTATGCATTTCGTTATGACGGACGTAATAAAACTGTGAAACGTATACGACGATGAACAAAAAAAAAAAAATATTGCAAAACAGCTTAATATTTCCGCATCTGAATAAAAATGCCATTTGTGCAAATCAATTGAGAGTGACGCTACTGTAGGCGAGCTAAGCAAAATAAAACGAATGTCCAATCAGCCGGACGATATTGGGGAGACTTATCTACTACCCTACTTACCCTACTATCTACTCTATATTAAAGGGAGTCGCAAAAATCAAAAGGATGTACGTAGATTACAAAAAAGCAAATGACTTTCGTGATGAAGCCCTTCGTTAACTTCCTAAACGATAGAAGAACGCAGAATGATTGTTCTAAGTTCAATGTCGGTTTTATTATAGAAAAAGTAAATTACGTGAATTATATATTTATTTGCTCACATTTTTATCATTGTAAATTTCAATAAAAAAATATATATATATTAGAACTCATACAATGTGTATAATGTACATAATGAGGGAAAATCTACAAATTAAAGTTAAGTATCACATGTTGGCTTAAAAATAGGTTACGCATTTGGTCTTGCAAAAAGTTTGTTTTCTGTATTTTTTTTTTGTTACGTTTGCAAATTATTGATATGCGTTAGAGCACAGTTACTGCATAATAAGTGGGCTTACATTGTAATTGATAGAAAAACAATTTCATATAATAGATATCTACAGTGCTAAGTTTCGAATTTCTGTGTTTTAATGGATATAGAATTCTTCTCGATTTATTTTTTTTTTTGATATGTTGATTGTTGAAATATTAACATTTTGTCCAACATAACTCCTACGTACTCAATGGTCAGCAAAAGCAATTTCATGCGCTATTACCTGCATTTAAATTTATTTAAATATTTGGATATTATACTAATCGAAGTTTGGGACTTATGCCAATTTCTAAAACCAAACATTTTTTTTTTTGAAAAATTGTTATTAATAATTTACTTTTAATAACCTTTTCAAAAATCCTGCTTAGATACCTCAAGGTTGTAATGGGTATATAAGTGATATCGAGGGTTGGCTAATGTTGACAATCCGCAAAACATTGGAGTTTGATACAAGAGTTAATTACAGATCTAAAAAATCGGATTCCTTCATGAGGAATATTTTTTAAAGCTACATTTTCGAGGTCATATATACTTGAAGACTTCTTTGGGCTTACTGCGTGCACTAAACATATAACAACGTCATCAGCCATGTAGTTCTTCTCTGGGACATGAACTGTAATTGATTTCAGCCTCGCTACAGCTGTATGCTATCTCGCACTGGACTATGTTTTCAACCTCCATAAAGTTGGGTCATTTTAATAAATATTATATCAAAATATATTGTTAGGCGATGTTCAAATTAATTGAATTGCCTTATTTACCGCATCTAATGTTTCTGTAGAATATTTTCCAACTTTCCACGCGTACTCACACAGAATTGGCTGGGACAAAATTTACTTTGCACTTTTCAGTTACCACTAATTGTAAATTACTATTATTAACCAATTTTGATGATAATATATTAAAACTTAGACGATTTTGTAGAAAGGCTTACTATTTCTGAGAATCCTTTGGAGGAATGGGGCCAGAAAAATCAATCGATACAGTTGAAATTTGGTCTATATAATTTTTGTTCCATATAGCTATTGTGGAGCACTTTTCATCATAACATATCGCATAAGTACAGCTAGATAAAGTTTTATTTTCCTGGGATCTTTTGTTTGCGGTGGTAGCCAAGTAACAAACTTACTTGACCTAATTTGATACCGTTAAGTCTTACATCAAATTGTCATTATGGAACAGTTTTTATCATAAAATATTAAATATTAGACATTTCAGCCATATGAAGGTTTACTTACATGAAAATCTTTATAGAAGGTTAGATCTAAAGAATAGACTAGAAAATAGAATAGAAAACTCGTAATGTTAATAGCTACGCCAAATTGCTATTATCGACTGATTTTCACCATGAGGAAAAATGAAAATTTCAATTACTTTCATATAACGAATTTTCAGCACGCTACATTTGTGTGTTTAAGTTCCGAAGCGCACTTTATTGCAGGGTATATTGCAAATGGTTCGGATAGAACTATTTTTACGCCCACCAAAACTGAGAAATAAAAACTGCTAGTATCGGTGAGCGTCAATGTACTTACAATCTTTCAATTAGAAATAAGCCGGTTATTCTGATAACGGCACAGTTTAAAAAAAATACCCTTTTAAAAATTGTTTGTCTAAAAATTTGCTTGATTTTACGCAGATGAACTGAAATTTCCCTTTGTACAATGTAATATTGACTACTTTTGTAGTAAAACAGAATAAATTGCTATTATAAACATACACACCTGGTCGAAATAAAAATGACAAGTAATTTTGTCTTCTGCATGTAGTTCTTCAATGCTGTTTGGTAAGTAACGGATTCGCAATTCTGGTCGCCAGATGCTCAGGCTATCGTTAATGTTTAACGGCTTTTCCAAAGGTATGTTCTTTTGCAACTGAGGACATTCAATATTTGGACATGTGGCATTCCAGATATGTATGAGCAACTTTTGTATTTTGCTTGTTTTATTCATCCATAGCGTTTCCTTTGTTATCATGTTCTGCAGACGTAAAGAATAATACTTAAAGTTAGGTTTTTGGGCTGAGGGCACCAGAGCTATTGTTTTTTCTATAACATCCTGTACGGTGTCCGTCTGATCATCAATATTAACTGCATGATGCGTATTATTAGGCCAATAAATATTTAAGCAAATTTTTTTTAACGGGGCTGCTGCTGTTGGAGAAAATTTAAATTGAATTGTCTACGCAAATATAAAAGCTAGGATTCTTACTAACTTGGAGTGTTGTTAAGGGTTTGGGACATGTTTTTTTATGCCTTAAACAGCTGTATGCGCTTTAACAACAGACGGTAAAAATGTATAAAATAGTTTCTTAACAAATAAAGCTTCTTAGCACTATCTGCAAAGTATATAGAGCTGGGTGATTTACTGGTTGATTAGCATTCTGAAACAAAAAGATGTTTAATTTATTTTTTTCTTTACATATCAAATTCAGCTAAAATGAATGAACAGTCGAGTTCAATTGACTCTTGGAAATAAATCTTATGCTAAGTATTATTATTAATATTATGCTAAGTAGATGTATACTAATAATTTATAATTAATAATTTTACAAAGTATAGGTGTGTCCCACAAGTTTTTTCCGCTCCACGCTATGCATGGCCTCGAGACGGCTACGCTTGTAAACATGCAGGTTTATCTATTATTCACTGCACCGATTTCAGTCATCTCGAAGCTCTTTTAAAGTAGGCTTCGTTAGTGACAAAGTATCTTTTAAAATCTTTTTCTACGCCGTTCAATGTGGATAGCCAAAAGAAGCATTTGCTGCATGTTATGCTTCATTTTTAAAAAGTAAGTAGTGCAAAGCGGACTGCAGACAAGGTTTGCACCGTTTACGGGAGTAGCATTACGACTATTAGAAAAGCGTGGCTGCCAATTTTGATATGAAAGATGAAGACCGCAGCATCCGCCACGTACCGACGGATACAGATCTCATCAAGAATATGTTCGCTGAAAATCTACAATATAGTGTGCGCGAGATAGGGGATAGCACTAACGTTCCTAGGACAACAGTACATAATCATTTAATTAAAATGAAATATATCGTTTATTAATTTCGCATCAAAAAAAAATAGGAGGAAACTTATGGGACTCCCAAATATGTAAAGAGATATGAAGTACAAGACAAAAATGAAGTAAATACGAGGACATGTAGCACGGATGCACATCGCTAGCCGATATTAATTCGCTAAACCGCTGCAAACATGCAAAAGCTTGACGACCGATAGTAGTCAACGAATTCAGTTCAATTTTTGAATCATACTAAGATTCAAAACTAAAACTTAGTTAAAATATCACAGAGCCTAAGCGCCTACGAAAGGAAGTTGACTTAATAGAATTTAAAGAGTCTGAAATTGAGATAAGATTATAGATATCATTTCGATTTTATTAAAAAACTTTAGAGTGGTTTCAAAGCCCATAATTATATCTACATTGGCTGAGTTTTATGAGAAGAAAATTCCTAAAGAGGCGGTTTACAACACTACAGTTCATTTGACGAAGTACTCTCGCCAAAATCCATTTATTAGCTTGACTACGAAGGAAAGATCAAGGATAAATGTACATTCTGTAACTCATGGTAAAGCTAACAATTTCCTAAGGAGGTACAAACACTAGCGGATCCCAACCAAGATTCGTAAGTGTAACGAGCAGGAATTGCCACACAACAGAGGTGTACGTCAGCATGGGTCTGACTAAGCCAATAGCCTTTTCGTAACGCAAGGGTCGTCGATCTCTGCATCACTGTTCGATAATATCTAGCACTGACCTTGCTTTATTGATGGAAAGCTTCACGTCAGCAAATCCATATTTTTCAATTTTTGTGGAATGGAGAAAGAATTTCTCCTTGAGAAAGAAAGTTTCATGAAATTCTTAGATTTGATTTCATGGAGCACCATGGAAGCAAATTAACTAATTTTGATTAAAGGAGACAAGAGTGGGATTTCAAGGTGAAGGAAGAAGAAAGTTAACATGGCCAGCGCACAAGATAGGGCTGAGCTTAACCATCGAAGGGAGAGCATTGATATATAGTCGAAATAGAAAGCCTTGAGGCTCACAAGACGTCACGGATAGTTCATCAGAGGTGATGGGGTTAAACAGAACCTTGAATTATTTGTTATGAGTATGAATAAAACGATAAGACGCAAATCTGAGGTTTGAAAACAATAGTTTACGACTAATAAGATTTAAGACATTGGGTAATATCTCTACTGTTGTTTTCTTTCTGTGATGTCTGTTTGCAACTGAAAAAGGAAGCTATACATCCAACAGAAATAGAGTTGAATTGGGTATGTACTTAATTAATCGGTTGTATTGGAATCAGCGTTAGAAAAATTTCTTTAGAACCATTTAACAAAGAGATTCGCGACAACAGAGGAGTCGGAGTCGTTAAAAGAAGTGGAAAAGTAGTACGAGGGGATTCTTCATTTGGAGTTAACAATTTTAAGACAATATTTAGAGCTAATAAGAAGGAAACCTTTATCAGTTGAAAGTATTTGAGATAGCTCTGATGGTTGACGTAAGTGAATCTTAGTAGAGTAGCTAAAATAATCGTACGCAGAGGCAATTCCCATGCATTTTTTAAGAAGTTTTTGTTTCCTATTTTAGTAGTATTTGATTACGTTGCTGAACCGGGGAGGGCAATTGCTTTGAAAGGAAGTTTTTTAATCCGAACGAACGCGGAAAAGGCAAGTTGGTAATGCTTCGAATTCCATCAATGTTGTCATACCACTTGGCGATTTGAACGTACGAAAAATACCGCTGGGCCTAAACGAAGATATAGTTTCCGTGATACCGATTTTTTCTTCAGAAAATACTAATATATTCATTAATGGATTCTGAGAGGGTGTATTACAAATTGCAGCAAACGGTTGTTGGGCCTTATATTCTCGAATATACCTGATCGTTGCGTAAATCAAAGTCTTATGAAGCCTTTTGTAACGCCGGAGAATGGCTACCGCCCGACCGTAATTTTCTCATTCCGTGGGACATTCATAACGGGCTGTAGCTGTTCTTCTGTTGCGTTAATGCACATAAATGTATTTGTAAATAACATTTGTTCACTTGAACTTTACATTCATTTAAATAAAACATTTCTATTTTGAAGATTGTCAAATCGTGGGTTTGCAAATGTCGCTTTCGTATGCCCCATTATTATGGCGATGCATAATTGGTTTTTAGGTCATTCAAGTAGTCGTCTTTTTATTTCGATAAAGAAAACGAACTAAATTACTTCATAGACAGTGGTGCTGAAATTTTTGTGCTCCCAGTTAATAAAATTAAAGAATATAAACGTTCGTCTGAAGTTACTCTGGCTGCAATTGATCCATTACTACTTTTGGCAAAACATTTGTTAACGTTAATCTCTATCTGCGTCGAGAGCTTCCTATAGTTTTACACTAATGGATTTACCCCAACCTATTGTTAGTACAGATTTCTTATTAGAATATGGATTGTTAATTGATGTCAAACAGAAAGGTTTGATCGATCCGCTAATTAATTTGCATATCACAGCACCCTCTTTTAGTTTCAAGTTAGCTTCACCAAAATTATTTTCTGTGGACAACAAATATAGTAAGCTCCCTAAAGAATTCCTTCTTTATTTTCGCAACCAGACTACAACAAACCCGTTAAACATTCGATTGTTCATAGAGTTGTAAGAGAAGGTCCACTATCATACTCTAGATCTAGGAGATTAGACCCATTTAAAGTGAGAATTGCGAAAAGTGAGTTTGAATTTGTGGCTAAGTTTGGTATTTGCAGACTTTTCAACCTCTCTTGTTGCTCGTCATTTAGTTCCTAAAAAAGAATCTAAAAATTATCAACTACATAGAGATTTTGGGAGACTTAATACGATTACGATTTCATATATATGTGCTAGTTTAATAAAAAAGTTTTCTTCAAGCTGGATTTATTTACGGTGTATCACCAAATTACTATGGCTAAAGAAGATATCCACAAAACCGTGATTACAACATCTTTCAACATATTCGAATTCCTTCGAGTGCCTTTCGGCCTTTGCAAATCTAACAAACTTTGTAACGCTTCATGGAATGAAATATTACATGGCATTGATTTCAAGTTCGCGTATATAGATGAAGTTCTCATCGTTGGTAATAATGGAGAAGAGCTTATTGAACAGTTAAGGGCAGTGTTTCGAAGACGAGCATGGACTTAACGTTAAACCCGGAGGGTGCATGTTTGTTGTGTCAATCGTAGATTTCTGAGGTCGTAATATATTCGAAAGCCTGAGAAGACAAGAGCTATTAAAGAATTTCATGCTCCTCAAAATGTTAAACAAATGCAAAAGTTCTATGGTATAGTAAGCTATTATCATTAATATGTGCAAAATTTGAGAACTGCCAATTAGTTAGAAACATGGTGCGACAAAAGGCAATCCAGTCCAAAACCTTATGTTTCAAACGCAATGCGAAACATAACTTTCGAGAAATTACATAACATTTCTCATCCAGGAACAAGAGATACACGCAAATTAATTAGAAAACATCAATGTACGAACATCTGAATGTATTAAATGGCAAAAAAGCTTAAATAAATAAACATATCAAACCTCCAATTAGTAAGATCCTCATTCAGAAAGGTCGTTTCCAACATACAGATTTAGACATATTTGGCCAATCTAAGGGACATATCCATATACTAATCATTACAGATCGATTTACATGTTTCCCGACGGCAATTCTCCTTAGAAATGCATATTAAACACCAGCTATTTCTACCTTCTTGAAGAATTATGTATGTCGCATTCGAGTCTCATTTACCATCACTACTGATTCATATCTGAAATGTTTTCAAAATCGAGAAAATTTTGTGGATCACAAGAAACTAATACGCCAGTGTGCCATCCACAAGCAAATCGAATGGTTGAGCGGCTACGCCAACAAGAAAAAGCACCACAAATAGGTTCGTACGATGAGCAACCAATTGTCCTTCTAATTTTATGCCCTACAATCAAGGATTACCCAGGAGCTACACCTAGTCTGCTAGTATTTGGGAAAAATATCCGGTTACTTGGAGAAATTGTTTCTCCTAGCATCAATAACGATTTAACCGATGTCTTATGTAAATTAAAACAAAATATGTAAGCTCTAATTTATAGCACTATCAACTATACTGAAACTGGTTTTCACATCTCTACGCATTTAAAGAGCTGCAAATATGTGTATATCCGCAAAATTAGCAAACGTTCGATGGACTCTCCTTACGAATGACCCCTCAAAGTTTTTAAAGTTGACATTAACGGTGATACTAAGACAATTTGTGAGCTGATAGCTGATGTTTCGCTTAAGGCTGTCCAGTGATTCGTTTCAAAAAATTTATTCGGTAAATTAACGGAACATTCATATTTTTGTGTTAAATCAAATA